TACTTTTTCCATAGTAGCATAGAGAATACAGGTTGTCTGTGTTCTTTGTTATATTTTAAGTGTCTCCAGGCTAAAAGCTATCCCTTGCCAAGTTGAGAACAGGCTAGCGGGCCCTAAAGTTACAAAATGATAAAGAAGCACTATTCTCATTTGGGTATATAGCCTTCTAGTATCTTTCTGTGTATGTGATAGGTGTATGATCTTTACATTGTCATAAACCTAGTGTATAAATGCAATCCACTTTGAATCCCTTTCCTCTTTGATTCAGTATTTTATAGTAGTATGTGGTATTTAGGCTAATTACCGGAGTTATGAAGTAGCTGCTATTGTAAATGGCATCCAAAAGGAGAACAATAGCTCCAGTGCTTTGGAAAGTAGAAAAGACTTTCTTGAAAACTATTTCTGGTAGCATTAGAACTGTGATACAGTAGTTGTAAATCTGCTCTCTCCCATCTCAGAGTAGTATAGGCCTATGAAATGTGACTTTTATATTTGCTTCCGTGTTTGCTGACCCATGTCCTTTTGTTAGTTGCTGCAGGTTAGTGTTGGTGTCAAATACTCTTCTTTACATAGTAGTCATGGAATTGATCAGAATTATGTGATCATCTTTTTTTTCCAAAATACTTATCTATCTATCTATCCATCCATCTATCGATAGATCTATCTATCTATTTATTTATTTATTTTTAGTTGTAGTTGGACACAATATTGTTATTTTATTTATTTATTTTTATGTGGTACTGAGGATCGAACCCAGGGCCTCCCTTGTGCTATTCAAGCGCTCAACCACTGAGCCACAATCCCAGCCCCTTATGTGATTGTCTTTAAAGGGCATCTGACATTGTCAAAGTAGTTGTTGGAGTTGGTGTTGGAAAAGGAACTAAGTGAGCTCCCCAGCTAGGTCTGAACTTGATTAAGCTTGATTCTTTGTTGTAACTTATGCTAATACCATTAAATCTGTAAAGCAAGACTGAAGTACTGTTTATATGAAAATATAGATGTTTTAAGATATCATATTGTAAATGAATATAGTACTATATAATTATTCTCATAGCTTTCTAGTCAGATTACCTTGAAAATCCAAAATGATTTTGATGAATAGAAATACATTATGATTTCATGGTTCTATATACCTCCTACATAGATGTGTAGTACTTGTATCTAAAAGGATTACCAAATTACATACCTTTTTAGTATCAGTAGCATGCCTAAAATGCCACAGTATTCACTGACCAGTTACGGTTATAAAACCACATTGAGATTTCCAGAAGAGGATTTCTTCACACAATATATATGGTTTTCAGGTTTTTCATACCATTTTGAGAGAGGTAGGATGTTCTTTTTATTGTATTTCAAGCTTTTATTCAGGCCATGAAGTGGAAAACATCTTCTCTCTAGATCACACATAGTATAGTTGTTTTTTTAAATTAACCTTATGCCTCTGCATGGGTAATTTAGCAAATATGGTTGCTTTCTGCCTCCGTATGCTGCCCACAGGTCACCTGGAAAGCAGTACAGTGTGACCATGTGTCTGCTGTTGCCTGCTGGTGCCTGCTCAGTGGGATGGTGGGCCAAGGAGTGGTGACAATAGTAACACACTATTCTGTGACCCTGCAGTTGCCCAGGGCGTGGTGAGCTTGCTGGGCAGTTCCTCAAGGCCATCCTTCATGAGGGATGTTTTGGCGGGAAGGTAAAATATCTTTAGATAAAGTGCTTGGAGATAGTTTCATTTATAGCTTCAAGGAGTCGTTTTTTAAAAACTCCCAGATCTGTGTTTCCAGCCTTGGCCTCTGTATTAGTTTTCTCAGGTGTTGTAACAAAGTACCATTAACTGGGTAGCTTAGAAAATACACTGTAGGGGGCTGAGGTTGAGGCTCAGCGGTACAGTGCTCGCCTAGTACGTGTGAGGCCCTAGATTTGATCCTCAGCACCACATAAAAATAAATAAAATAAAGGTATTACAACTAAAAAATAAATATTTTTTAAAAATAGCACTGTATTATCTCAAGTTCTGGAGGTTGGAAATCCAGGAAGAAGGGGTCGGTGGGGTTGTTCTTCTGAGGGAGTGTTATGTTCCTATTGCCTAGCTATTGGGGGCGTGCTGGCAGTCTTTGGGGGTTCTTTGACTTATAGAAGTCTCACCCTGACCTCTGCCTTAACCCTCATATCATGTCCCCTATATGCATGTCCATGTCCAAATCTCCCCCCTTGTATAAGGACTCTAGTCACACTGGATCCAGTAGGTCTTTGTCTTAGCTAATGACATTGTAACAACTTCTATTTCCAAATTAGACAGTGTTCTGAGGTGCTAGGAGTCAGGCTTTTGCAGAGGGTGGGAGACATAAAAATTTAGCTCAACCAGCAACTCACCTGAGTTACACATGGGGACACCTCAAATTCACACGGTCAGAACTGGTCCCAAGCTCCCCTGAGTCTCTCCTCCAGTGCTTTCCTTTTTGTTCTTTTCCATTGGTGGTGTGTCATCATCTCACTCAGCTGTGCAATGAAGAAGTCTTGGGAGCACCTTGGTCTCTGTCCTTGCCCTCAGCCTCTGCAGTGTTGTCATTTTGGCCTCACCTGTAGCTCTGTAGCCTCTCCTCTCCTCCGTTTAATTCCTAGGGCTCCCACTCTGGTTCAGAGCCTCTACCCTAGTAGAGCCTCCCCCATCTCATCTCTCTCCTTTTAGGTTCATCTTCCACCCCAGTTCTTTTTCCAAAACAAAGGTTTGACCCTGTCATTTGTTAATCTGAAAACCTGGAGTGAATTCCCCCTGCCTGTAAAATCATGGCGATTCTGTAACCTGGTCTCTGAGGTCCCTCAGGTGGCAGACATTCTACCTCAGGCCACTCTTATCCACATGACCTGTAGGACGCAGGGTCAGTAGCTCCTAAGTCCTTCTAAACATACCACCAGCGTCCATTTTGACCTCTGTTCAGTTCTCTGCTGCTCCCTCAGTGTGGAATGCACTGTGTCCGCATCTCTCTCTTCCCTGTCTTCTCACACCACTGTAAATCTACCCAGGTGGAACAGAAACCAAGAGACCCATTTCTTAAGCCAAAATGCCAGAAACCAGTTATTTCTCCATAACAAAGTCATTTTTTTTCCAACTTCAAAAGTAAAAGTAGGAGCTTGAAGCAGATAGTCCCGAAGATCTGTTGACCTTCAGAATTTATACTTTCAATGCTACACCTTCATGGAGATTTCCCCAACTCCTCTAAGCAGAGTAAATTCTTCCTTCTTTGTGTCCCTTAGTACTTTATTTCTCCTTTGACTTTTCACACTGCTTGCCCACTCTGGTGGTTATATATGCTCATGATTATCTCCCCTCCCACCTCACAGGGAGGAAGCCCCTTGAGTTCAGCCAAGAAGGTTGGACTCATATGCTTCTCTTCCCAAACCCACCACCCCTGGCCTCACTTGCACGCAGATTCTCAGTGACAGAAACTATGGTCGAGAGTGAACGTTCCTGGGCAAGCATTCTCCTGAAACCCGTGTTCCTGAATGACTCGTGCCTGCAGAAGGATGTGTTTTGGATGGTGAATGATTTGGAAATGCCATATTGGACACACCATGCATTTTCCCTTTTATTTTATGGCATTATTGTAGTCAGGTGATATTCGGGCAAAAAGGTAGGTTAACTTTGTAACACTTTGAATAGAGATATCTTTTTTCCTATAAGAGGTTTGAAATTATGGTGTCGTGTGAGACATAGGAAAATATTCATATTTTCTCCTTCCATACCCTCCACAAACCTAGACTATCTCAATATATTATTGAAATACTTGGAACTTTAAATACAATATACTGATGAAAAAAAAATTCTTAGGAAATCCTTCATGGACTGTTTAATCTTTGGAAATTCAGCATCCCTGGCTGGTCACACCATTCCCAAAGCCTGGATTTGATCATATTATAACTTTCCTTAGAAGTTTTTAGGCAGTCCTTTTTCCTAGAGAAGAATGACTCGTCCTTTTCTTGCCTTCTAGGACATCCTTGTGTTCTCTTTCCAATCTCATTGGCAGTCTTCTCTCTTGTGCACTCCATTGTTCAGACAAATCAGTTGTCACTATTGCCCTCGTGCACTCTGTGACTTTCATGTTCTGCCTTTCTGCCTGAGGAGCCTTCCCATAGAGCCCATCTCTGCATGTCTGGATTTTACTCAGTCCTTAAGTCTTTTTTTTTTTTTTTTTTTTTCACTTTTTTAAGGACACAACGGACACAACATCTTTGTTTTTATGTGGTGCTGAGGATCGAACCTGGGCCGCACGCATGCCAGGCGAGCGCGCTACCGCTTGAGCCACATCCCCAGCCCCAGTCCTTAAATCTTGACTTCACTTCCATTCCTGCCACAAAGCCACCCTTGATTTTCTTCCTGAATTCCGCTGTCATGTTGGTCCTTGCCTTCCCATTTGTCTTTCTTGTATGCTACTATTTCTAGACTAGTGTTGCCTCTCTTGCTTGACTGGAAGTTCCTTTGGGTCACATTTGGTGTCTGATTTATCTGCGTTTCTCCCAGTAATGTCCTGGGTACAATTCACATGTGGTCAGTAGATGTCAGTAATGAATGTGCATCTGTGAGTCATTTTTACACGGTGTGTAAGGGTATTAATGAATAACAAAGCTGCTCTGTCTTGGCTGTAATGCAGTCATTTCTTAACCTAAAGTCTCTAAGCTTTAATTATAGAATCTAATAATGTGCCTGAGGGAAGATCGAGGTAAATCAACATAAATGGTGTTGGGTAAAACTGTCTCATTTGAAATTATAATGCATTGAGTGTTTCACTGTATGCTCAAGCCTGCCATATTTTTTAGGTTCCATATATTGTTATTTCAGTCCATACAATTGTTTATTGTATGTAAAAGGAAGTGCTAAGTGTTAGTAAATGTGTTTAGTTTTGAATTTTACTTTTTCGACTATTTTTCCCTCAGTGTGTATTTGTGTATGCTTTTATTTTCCGTAAGCTACTGACTTTGTGCTTTGTGCTTGTTTTATGTTGCAGGTTAATATCCTTTCAAGAATTTGTAGCATTTGAGTCTGTCCTGTGTGCCCCAGATGCTTTGTTTATGGTCGCCTTTCAGCTGTTCGACAAAGCTGGCAAAGGAGAAGTTACTTTTGGTAAGGAGTGTGAGTGTGTGCATAGCTGCACAAGGGTGGGTTAGTGAGCATTTCTCTCTCTCTCTCTCTCTCTCTCTCTCTCTCTTTTAAAACAAAGATGACTTGGTGTTTGGGGCTCCATTTCAAATGTCTTCCTCTTTGAAGCCTTAGTAGTTTTGATCTCTGCTTATCATCTTCACCATGATGCAGCATAACTTCTTAGTGGTAGAATGTGGGAGTCTGTAGAAGCTGGGACTTCTGTTCTTTTCCTTCCCCATCAATAGCACTTTTCTCTTGAGAGAATATAGAGGTTAGTAAACTGCCCATGACCAGAAGTTATCCAGGCACCTAGACTTCTGATCCTTCTTGTTCTCATGGAGTGGTTTGCTGTCAGAGGCGTAGCATATGATATGGCTCCACAATGGTGCAGGAAGGACTCTGTTCTTAAGAGCAACCTGGCTCATCACTGCAGTGCTAGTACCTGCATGCTGCCACCTTTTATATAAAAGACAGACATATCTTCATGGGGATGAGCTGCAAAACTGCAGGAAACCCTGACGTCTTTTAAGTACTTGAAAGAAAGGGGAGCAGTGGGGCAATGGTAAGTTCTTTAAGAGAAGTTGTCTAATTAAGGTCGACGCAACAGGAAGCACCCTGTTTCCCTTGGACTGTGTGGTGCCCAGCATACTAGCCTGTGTGGTGAACCTATGGTACCATTGCCCATGAAGAACTTGGGTGCCCTTTGGGTGTATTGATTGTGTTTTTAGGGGAAGTGGCTAATGTGCTCATTTTAATGTCTTTATTCTTAGTTTCCAATTCGTTCAGACTTTTTGAACTTGTCTTCTCTGATATATTATGGGAAACAGACAGATGCTGGACAAACAGAGATGATGTAACAGAGCCACGTAGGTTATAAAATCCAGGGAGACTCAGCCCTTCCCTGCCACTTTTGCCTCTGAGCCAAGTGAATTATCCTCTCAAGTTCCTTATCAGAAATGAAGATTATAACTACATAAAGCATAGGTAGGATAGTAAGATAGGTTTATTTTACCAGCCTTCTCCTCTGCCCGCCTGCATTCATGCTCATGTGGCATGACAAGATTATGCAAGATGGGATCAGCTAGGGCCAAGGCAAAAATGATGTGCTTGTTTCTAGAAGCTCAGATGTTTTTCTACTAACACTTCAGAAGGATCATTTAATATTTAAAGATCCATAAGTGCTGGGGATGTAGCTCAGTGGTAGAGCACTTGCTTAGCATGCATGAGGCCCTGAGGTTAATTCCCAGCACTGCAGAGAAAAAAAAAATGTCCCATTAAATCCTTCAGATGATCAGTGAGCAGCTAGCTTGTGGTGTCATGGAAGCCAGTTTGATGAAAATGATACCATATGAACTTGGGTTGAACTACAAAAGCCTGGGAGGAGGGGGAGAAAGCTGAGTTGGGGATGACAAGGCTGGGAAATGGGCTTCAGTTATCTTCCTTGATTTGGATGAGTCTTGCCTTCATGGGTCTGACCTGGCAAGGGAAGTTGGTGGCTGTAGAGGAAGAAAACAGACCTTTATCAGTACAGAAGGATATGTGAGTTAATGAGAGTTAAAAAGAAAAAAATTAAAAAAAATAAATAAAACGGACAGGTGGAGAAGCAGGGTGTAGGAGACAGAGACCTCTGTAAATTTAGAACTGCACAGGTGTGAGAAATCCCTTGCTGTTTCTTACTAGTTCTTTATTGATAGACAAAGTGTTTCTGCTGTCTGAGCCTTATTTTCCCCATCTATGAAATTGGGATAGTATCTACCTTAAAGGACTGTGTTTTAAAAGATCTACCACATATATAGTCACTGTCTGTAAAGTAAAGGCCTTTATAAAAATAACAGCACAGAATGAAATCACCCAAGAGAAGAAGAGATTTCCTTTTTTACTTTCCCTCCATTTAAAAAATCTGGTTCTTAGGAAAAGTATTTGAACATGCAGTTTAATCTCTAGTCTGTTATCCAGGAGACTGTTTGCTTACCATCTGGCTGTGTATATTCAACACTGCCCCATTTCTCAAGGCAGAAGGGTTGGAAACCCCAATTTCCAGAAACTAATATGCTGGTTATGTTGTATGTTTCGTATGACTGTTGAAGAAGAACATACAGCCCCTCCAGCAGCAACCCTGTGTTCATGAGTAGTATATTGGTAGAGTTTGCATATCTCGTCAAACAAGAATGTGTTTTATATGCCCTGTTTACATTTATGATCATTCTACGAGGTCCTCACCCTGTGAATGTCATAAAATGTAGACTTTCTAAACCTAATTAGATTAAATGAAAAGAAAAATGCATAGTGCTATGAAACCCAAATGACCATCAAATTGCAAATTAATAGCTGACTTCTAACATTTTTCATAAGGTAGGGTGAAGTCATCAAATGCAGGCCATGTGGGTGACCGCCTTTTGGCCAAGTGAACAAAATCATATTGGAGGAGAGGTGTGACAACCTAAGGAGGGCTTTTTGTTTTTGTTTTTGTTTTGATAGTAGGTACCTTTAGAAAAAAACTAGCAATGCTTTTTAAAAACTTAAGGTAGAGTAAAAGATGTGAAAAAACAAGCAAAAATCCACGAAAAAGATGAATTGAACCAAATTAGAGGACTTAACCTTATCAATCATGGACTCTAAACCCAAAGTACTCAGAGAGTGAAAATCCAGATATGAAGCTGGCCGCCTGCCCACTTGAGGCTATTTTGAGATAAGCAGTGGCAGTTTCACTTGTTGACATCCTTTCCTCTGTGTAAAAGCTTTATCTGAGAACAACCCTTGAGCGTGTCTGAAGACCGTCCACCTCAGTGTGCATTTTTGGGGAGAGTGGTCATGGAGTGTTGAGAGGAAGGAGGCTCTTTCCTTTTACTTCCCACACTGGCTTGGTAGACAGGTGCTCACGGGTTTAGCATTGTTTTTAGAATATGATTGTCACCTGGCCTTCCCCTGGACTTCAGAGAAGGTTGGAGACTGTGGCCTGAGGTCCCCTCTGTCCCTTGGCTTTGCATTTCCTGCAGTGAGAGCAGATAATATTCTTTATCTGTTTACATATTTGGTTGCCATGGAAGAGTGTTTGAAGCAGGCTTCTGCAGCTAAGCTCAGTGCACACGAGTGTTTGTCAATAAGCAGCAGTGTTCCTGCGCACGTGAACACTGAGTCTGACACGCTCTCAGCAAAATTCAGAAGGAGTGATGGGCAGATAATCAAGTGTCACATTTCAGTGAAACCCTGCCCCGTTTCTTTGAGTCCTTGTTTATGTTTACTATATTTTCATGTCTGGATCACTCCCTATGTTTGCTACAATGAAAAGATCTTGATTAGGCCAATTTTGTTCCTTTGATATCCAGTTCGTTACATTCTCCTGTTTTCCTTTGAGAGAAAACTTACCTCCAATATTCTTGCTATCATGTTTTCTTATTTTGATACCTGATGTTTATAAGTAGCATTTTGAGAAATGAACTGGTAGATGATAGGATATTGGTATAATGGTAAATTTTAGTTAATAATTTAGGAGTCTGTGTGTGTGTGGAAAAAATTTGTTTTAAATTTTAAATTTGTTCCAAATTTTGCTGACATTTTGTATTTTTATATTATAGTTTTTGAACTTACCTTTAATTTTTTAAAAGTATACTTTATTGGTATAAGTGTACATCAGTACATGGAGAAGAATGCACAGATCATAAGTAGATATTTTGATGAATTCTATGCAGAATAGATACTCATTCGCCACCATCCAGATCAGAAGAGAATGGTACCAGCAGTGTAGAAGTTTGTTCTCTCCGTCACAGGGTAACTACTGATATCAATTGATCTTGCCTGTTTTAAAATGTAATATCGGTAGAGTAGTAAAAAAGAAAATATACTCTTTTGTTCAACATCTTATTCATGAAATTCTTTCATGTTTTGGTGTGTATTTTTTACTTTATTCTTTTTCTTTATCATATGGTATCCCATTATGTGGATCTATCCTCATTTATTCACTCTACTGTTTTGGGTAGTATCAGTAATGTCCTTTGAACACTTTTTCACGTATTTTTGGGGTTCGTGTGTAGGTATTTTTAAGGATAGAATTCCTGAGTCATAGGAAATATGTCTATTTACTTTAGTTGATCTTGCAAAAGTGTTTTCTAGGGAAATTATACCAGTTGTTACTTAATTACTACAGCTTTTTTTTTTCTTTAAGATTAATTATCTTGGCAACTTTTGGTCCTTTTCATTATCACACCAATTTTAGAATAAGGTGTTAATTTCCCAAAATAGCATACTGGAATTTTGAGTAGTATTGCATCAAATATGAATCATAACTGCATATATATCTCTATGAATAAATAAGTTCTAATTCCCATAAAGGTTTTTAAAGTATTTAAATATGTCATTCATCATCTAAGGATGCCAGTGGACCTGTACCATTCTGCAGGTAGGACTTCGGCCAGTAGGAATTAGGGCTAAGAATCTCAGAAGGAAAAACGTAGGAACATGAGCATGAATCTCTGAGATGAAGAGTAAGCATTGTTTTTTTTTTTTTAAGTTCATGAATATTTAAGTAGATTTATATTATGCCAACATATATTTGAATATTCTAAATAGAAACTTGAAGATTCTGAGTTGTAAAGACACTGGTATTGTCAAATTTTCCCATGACAGTGGGAGAGAGGAATGTGTAAAGGGATTAAATCATTACTTTAGTCTTTTTCACTTTTTCACGGCTATGACCAAAAGATCTGACAGGAACAACACAGAGGAGGAAAAGTTTGTTAGATGTTCATGGTTTCAGAGGTCTCAGTCCATAGATGGCCTCCTCTATTCCTTAGTGCCGGTCATCATGATGGAAGAGTGTGGCAGACAAAAGCAGCTCAGGATATGGTACCAGGAAGCAGAGAGGGGCAGGGGGAAGAAGGGGTGGATGGAGAAAGAGAGGGAAGGAGGGAGGGAGAGAACTGAGATACTACTCCCTTCATTGTGGGTAAAACATAAATCCCAAGTGCATGCCCCCAGTAAGGCAC